AGAAAGAAAGAAAGAAAGAAAGAAAGAAAGAAAGAAAGAAAGAAAGAAAGAGTTTTTGAGTTTTAAAAGATCTTTTATTACACACTCCAACAGTCAAGACACCAACAAAAACTTGTTAAATACAAAAAATCAAAAAGTAAAAACTAAAGATGCTTCATCCACTGAACACAAAACATCATTAACACCCCACTTGTTTACAAAGCCATCCATGTTTTTTGTCAACTTAAAGTACTCAAATTCCACGCGAACTCGAGCAACTACCAGTCTTTGAAATAAAACACGAGCATCATCCGTCTGATGCCCATTGATTTTGTTCTTTCTTGATAACCATATTGCTAGCTTTGCAGTCCCAGAGATGAAATTCAAAAGAACATGAACAGGTTTTTTCTTTGCACAGTACCGTGGACCATAAATAAAAACGCAGGTAGAAAACTGTACACCAAAACCACTAAACAGATGATCTAAAAAAACAATAAGAGGATTCAATCTTAAACATTCAATAAAAATATGATGCCAAGTTTCCTCCTGAGAACAAAAAGGACATGAAACACTAATGTCAGGATTAAGGTGTGCCAGATACCTGTTTGTAGCTATGGCCCCATGCACAATCCTCCACTGGAGGTCACCCACCCGTTTCTCAATGGGGGGTTTGTACAGGGACCGCCAACAGCCTCTCGGGGTAGATCCGGTGTCAAAAAACTCAGTCCACTTTGACACTCTCACTTCTGCCAGAGAGCGTAAATTCAAGACCTTCATGCAAATCTTGTACAAGTCTTTCTTCCCCAGGTCGTCAAAACAACCAAGTGGTGCATCTTGGAGAGTCAGCAACTTTTCTGTCTCATCCTGCCACTGATCCACTGCAGGAGAGACAATCAGGGAAGGAAACGCATACTCGCAGTCATCGTCCCATTGGTCAGACAGAGTACTGTTAGAAGCAAACGCTCTGATGGAATCTGGCAGAGAAGAACAGGCCTCCTCTTTCAGCCTAAACACAAGTCTGTTGGATCGCAGTTCTAGACGCTCAATGAGACTGGACGCAGACAGCTTCATTAAATGACCCAGCTTCACACAGCCCGCGTCTCTCATCTTAGCTCTCATTGTAGCAGATGAGAGCAGCTGTGATGAGAAGAAACTGTTTTCAAACAGAGGTTCCTCAAAAACCCACATTCCAGGTGTCAAAACAGTCTTTCTCTCAAAGGTGAGGACCTGCCAAGCATTTAAAACTGAACGGTAAAATGGTGCAAGGCCTGTTAGGTCCAAAGATCCTTGTCGCAGCAAAAACAGATGTTTGTCATAGCCAAGACGTCCTGCTTTCCTTAGCAGAAGACGTGCAGTATCCAGCCATGGTAGTCCAACTCCGTATAGTAGTTTTTGCAGTGTTTGAAGCCTGAAAGCCGCGATCCGTGAGGTTATGTCTATGAGTCCTTGTCCTCCCTCTTCCACCGGTAGGTACAAGGCTGCAGCTTTCACCCAGTGTCGTCCAGACCAGAAGAAATCCACAAGAGTTTTCTGGATACGATGTATGAGAGAAGCAGGCGGTGTTAGAACAGTCAGTTTGTGCCAGAGGGCCGAAGCAACCAAGTTATTAGCCACCAGAACCCTTCCCCTGTAAGACAGCTGAGGCAGCAGCCATTTCCACTTAGAAAATCTGGCACACACTTTCTCCATGACACCCTCCCAATTTTTTTCCAAAAAAGTATCTGTCCCCAAAAACACACCCAAGAATTTTAACCCTTGGTTAACCCAGTGAATATTACCTGGTAATATGGGCAGATTGTTATTTGTCCAAGGGCCAACTTTTAAAGCAGAGCTTTTTTCCCAGTTCACCTTAGCTGAAGATGCTTTTTCATAAAGTTCCAAGCAGTGTTGAAGACCTATGACATCGTCCTGGTTTTTAATAAAAATGTTTATATCATCAGCGTAAGCAGAAACTACTAACCCTGGATGAATAGACAAACCCGGAAAAATAACACCAGTAAGGGTAGAACGTACTTTGTGTAAAAGTGGTTCAACTGCAATTGAATACAGCTGTCCAGATATAGGACACCCTTGACGAATGCCTCTCTGGACCTTGACAGGACAACTTAAACCTCCCCCTACTTTAGCAAGACAAAACACTTCATTATACAATAAACCCAATAAAGAAATAAACCCTTCACCAAACCCAAAAGCTCTTAATGTAGAAAAGAGAAAACAATGATCAACCCTATCAAAGGCCTTCTCCTGGTCTAAGGAAATAATACCCACATCAATTTCATAACATTTACAAATGTCAAACAAGTCTCTTAAAAGAAAAAGATTGTCCATGATGGATCTGTCAGGAACACAGTATGATTGATCTCTGTGTATGATAAGTTCAAGGAAGTTCTTCAACCTATTCGAAAGCACTTTAGAAAATAACTTATAATCCACACAGAGAAGGGAAACGGGCCTCCAGTTCTTCAGCAGAGTCAAGTCTCCTTTTTTGGGAAGAAGGGAAAGAACAGCTTGTCGGCAGGACGATGGCAAGATACCTGTTAATGTGCACGCCTGAAGCACCTCCCACAAGTCCTCTCCCAACAGAGTCCAGAAATGTTTATAAAAGTCCACAGGTATACCATCCAGCCCTGGAGTCTTGCCAGGAGCCATTTGTCCAACAGCGGCAGTCAGTTCATCCAGTGAAACTCCAGCATCCAGAATCGCCCGATCTACATCGTTCAGCTGAGGAAGACCATCCAGCAGGGCATCCATGCAGCTTCTGTTACACGTCTGCTGCTTATAGAGGTCACTGTAGAATTCCACAGCGTGCTCCTTCATGGCACTGGGATCGGTGGTCCGAGTCCCATCTGGAAGCTGGAGGCAAACCAACTGCTTTGTCTGGCTGACGTTCCTCTCCAAATTAAAGAAGAAAGATGTAGGGGCATCCATATCCCTAACAGAGGCAAACCTTGACCTAACTAAAGCCCCTTTAGCCCTTTCATGTAAAAAACAACTTAACTGATCTTTCTTTTGTTTAAGATGGTCAGTATTAATAACATCTGTGAATGTATTGTTTTCTAACTGCTGTATTTCATTTTCTAGATTCTGAATCACATTTTTTATTTTAGCTGTAGAATGACTTGTGTATTGTTGACAAAAAACTCTTATCTTAGCCTTTCCAACCTCCCACCAATCAGATAAGGATGAAAATGATGATTTTCTTTCCTGCCATAACTGCCAGAAAGTATTAAAGCTTTGGCAAAAAAAGGTATCTTGAAGTAGTTTAGTGTTAAAATGCCAATAAGATCTGCCTCTAGTGGTGTTTGAAAAATGAAAATCCAAGTAAACTAAATGATGATCAGAGAAACCAACTGGACAAATTAAACAATTGGATAATCTATTTCTATGATTTTTTGAGATATAAAATCTGTCCAACCTAGCCCCACTCACTGTCCCATCCGTCATTTTTACCCACGTATACTGTTTAACTTGAGGGTGTTTAATCCTCCAAGCATCAACCAAATTAAGTTCTGATATCACCTGAGCTAATTTAAAGGATGATGGAGGATGAGGTTCTTCTCCTGTTCTATCTGTTGTAAAGCTGGTAGTGCAGTTCCAATCCCCTCCCATCACAACACATTCGTTTTGATTAGACTGATTCAAAAAATTATGTATTTTTTCAAAAGTCTTAATCCTGTTATCTCCCTGGTTTGGTGCGTAGACATTAATGAACCAGAAACATAAACTTTCTATCTCTACTCTAACCACCAGGACCCTGCCTGGGACTAACTCAGTACAGGAAATGATATTAGCATCCAGAGCTGGTGAAAATAAAATAGCTACACCAGCAGATGACCTGGTCCCATGGGACAAAAAACATTTTCCTTTCCAACTCATCCCCCATTCTACCTCATTTTCATGATCTGTGTGTGTCTCCTGTAAAAACACCACATCAAGCTTCTTTTGAGCGATCATCTCTAAAATAACCATCTTTTTCTGTGGATCCCTCCCCCCATTAATGTTTAAAGACCCCACCCTGATATTATGCATAGAGGTGAAAAGAAGAGGGAAGACAGACAGAGACAGCAAAAAGAAGACCACCCAGTGTGCTATAATCATAGTCTTATTTCTGAACTTTTAATCGTTTTGAGCCTTTTCCTTTATTTGTTAACATCTGTCTCCGGAGGTTTGTCATGTGCTTCTTTAAACGAAAACGTTTCTTTTCATCAAGCATTTCGAAATCTACCGTTTTCTGAACCATCAGAGCGCTCCTGATAAACTTTTCCGCATCGGGAAAATAATCAAGAATTTTAACCTGTTTTCCATAATTTTCATCAAGAAAATCATTGATTTCCTCCAGAGTGTACAAATCACTGCTGGATGTTTGTGAGTCTGTGATGGAAACGCTGTCTGAGTCGCTGTCTTCCTCCATGTCCTCTGCCTGTTCAGCTTCAGCTGCAGGTGAGGCGGCTGCACCTTCACCCGCGGGGGGCGGGGCCACCGTGCCCCCACCCGCGGGCAGCTGCTCTGCTTCTGCTTCAGCAGCAACAGAGTTATCAGCTGTCAGATCTTTTTCTGTGTCAACATGACCAGAGTTTGAGGAAACTTTTGAAACATTTATTTCATTTGGCTCAGTGTCATCCCGTGCAGGCTGTTTATTTAGACCGCTGCTTCCCTCCCCGGCATCAGAGCCAGCTGACGGGGGGGCCGTTTTCCCCTCCTCAGCCGGAGGAGGAGCAGCTGTCCGTGATGCCTCCGTATCCTGGCTCATTTCAACCTGCATTTCTGCGTTTTTGTGCGGGCAGGCGTCCCGTTTATGCCCAACATCCCCGCACTCGAAACACTTCATGTTTCCGGTGCTCGCGTAGACCATGTAGGACCCTTCTCCGTGTCTGACTCTGAAGGACACGTCCAGCGTCTGCGTGGCAGACAGGAACATGAACACCTGCCTCCTGAAGGACTGGACGTGTTTCAGTTTTTCGTTCTTACAGCCCAAACCCACAGTTTTGAAGCCACTGGCGAGCTTCCCAAAGCGCAGGAGCTCTTTCTCCAGCGCGTCATTAGGAATGAACGGCGGCACACCTGAGATAATAACCCGCGTGGAGGGCACCGCGAGAGGAGACACCTGCAGGTACTCTCCACCCACTGTCACCCCGCTGACAATCAGCTGAGTCACAAAACGCTCCTCTTTCAAAAATATCACCACACCCTTGTTCATTCTCGAGGCATAAACTAAATTAATGTGACCAACAATCTCGCCAACCGCCAGGAGGACCGTCTCAACTGGGACTGACGGGTCGGGCTGAAGCCGAACCCCGTTCCTCAGGGAGAGGTGTGGCGTCCCTGAAGACGCCATCCCCGCAAACAATCAGCGCTGTAAGCGCTGAAAGTTAAAAAACTAACCCCAAAATAAAGAACCAGTGTGAATAAAGAATATTAGAAAGTCAATACATAAAAGAAAAGATAAGAAAAATAGCTTTTAGAGACAACTCTTCCACTCTTTATCAGACTCACCACATGCAGCTGCACCAACACACTCCCAGCATGCAACGCAGAAAGAAAGAAAGAAAGAAAGAAAGAAAGAAAGAGAACATAAATACAGGTAGTGTGACAAGGAGGTAAGAGTGAGTAAACATGGTGAAAGAGGAGTTTTGCTGCAGGATTTAAAAATGGACATGGTGCGAGAGGTTTTGATGTCATGGGGGGGGGAGGGGTTGGGGGGGGGGGGGGGGCGACGGGGGAGTCGGGGGGGGGGGGGGGGGGAGTACCTGAGAGTGCAGGTGGGTGTGTTGATGTGGAGGAGTTCTGTGAGATACCGAGAGGTGAGGTTGTTGGGGGGTTTTGAAGGCGAGGAACAAGATTTTGTATGAAATGCAATATTTAACTGGGAGCCAGTGAGGATGCTGCAGGACAGAGGTTATATGACTGGTGGAGGTGGTTTCTGGAGATGATGTGAGCAGCAGAGTTCTGGACCTGTTGGAGTTTCTGGGTGGATTCTGCAGGCAAACCAAAAAGAGGAGGTGAATGTAGGCTGAACGAGTGATGTTACAGATGTGTGATTGAAATTGTATTGTATTGTCTAGGATGACACCCCGACTCTTAACCTGGGGGGAGGGGAACATGGGGTGCTGGTGATGAAAATGGAAGCAGTCACAGATTTTGAGTACGGGAGGACTCGGTGCCAACGAGAAGAAGTTCAGTTTTGTTACTGTTCAGTGTGAGGAAGTGGCTGCAGAGCCAGGATCTGATTTCAGATAGAGCAGTGGTGGGGGGTGGGGGTGGAGGGGGTTGGACAGATAGAGCTGGTTGTTATCCGAATTGTTTTTCATGAATCACTTATCTGCATAATGGTCTGCAGTGGGCTTTTATTTTCATTCTCATGAGCAGCAAGACAACTGTCCATCCATCCATCCATCCATCCATCCATCCATCCATCATCTTTTCAGTTTGCTTGGAGCTGGCGTGAGGGGACATCCTGGACAGGTCCAGTCCATCACAGGACCACATAGAGACACACACTCTCACCCACACCTAGGGACAATTTAGAGTTGCAGCTGTGTCGACGTGCTTATTTACTTTGTTCACACTTGTGAGCTTAAAAAAAAAAGACACTGCAAACAAGAGAGACGCCAGAACTTGTAATTTGACAGAACTTGGACTTGTGCTGTTTTTACATTGTTGTGAATAAAGAAAAGCTGAAATTCCAAGATGTGCAGACTACACCCTTAAATGATATGAAATCAAACACAAGACAAGGTCATCCTGAGCCATGTCAAACAGTGCAGCTTGAAAGAGTTTACTCCAGTGGTTTTCCAGATGTGTTGACATGAAATGCAGGTGCACACTCAGTGTAAACAAAGCATTTTGTTCTAATGATTTTCAATAACCGCTGGGTTGTCAGTGCTGTGGTCTTCTAGCCCACAGGTTGTGTCAGAAAAGGCAACCAGATCTTTCTGAAGGGCTCAAACCAAAAGAAAAACTATTTTGTTGAACGTATAAACATGCACCAATATATCAAAATTGTCTGACCTCTCAATTCCAGGAGGCTCTTCCACGGATGTCACCATTGTTGATTTATATTTAGCCACTTCGGCTCTTTCTGTAAGTTAATAAATGCTTGTTTTTTTTTTGTTTTGTTTTTTTGCAACTGGTCACATGTTTGACAGCTTTGTCATTTTAGGACACACTAACCACAGACAGGAGAAAAACATTGTGCACATTTAGTTTTGTCTGGTCCTTTCTGAGTACTTTCAAGTGCTCCAGTTTAAGTTTTCATGGCTGGGTTGGCTCAATGTTATTATTTTTATTCCTCCCCAACATTCCTATCTTCCTGCCTGATGAACAGACACGTGTATGACAACGTGGGGATGAAAGTGGGCCAGCACATCTACGAGAACGTCAGGGAGCTGAGGGACGCCACGCCCGATCTGATTCTGGCTGTCAAACCCAAGGTTCCCGCGGAGGACCTGCAGGTGACAAACCAAGACACACCTGTGCAACTTTTCCTCGGGGTCGTTTCCTCTTTTATCCTAATCTCCGCCCGACCTTTTAGTTCACAGGAACCGAGTTTGATGGTGACAAAGCTTCAGTGAGCGACTCCTCCCTCTCGTCGACCCGACTGTCGAGCGTTGACCGAGCTGAAAGAAACTCACGCGCCCTGAGCCTCCACAACTCCATCACCAAGAGTAAGAGCTTTTCATCCAGCTTCAGTTCAACACATTTTTACACACTGATTTCTGATTTTAGACGCATTTACGCAGTTCTGTTCAGTTCAAGGGGGATGGTAGAAGAAAGGGGAATAAAAAGGAAAATTCTGGACATTTATTAGAGGGTCAAAAGAATCATTTGACCCTGATTACGAGTTCAAAACTAAGCTTAATGAGGACACAACAGCTGGCACAAATGATGTCAGAACAGAATACACACATTTGTAAATCTGCCTAAAATGAAGCATAAATTCTTTATTTTCTAATCTTTTCCTCCCATAAAGCCCCTTTTTTATTACACCCCCTGCAGTCCCTACTCTTTGTTCTTCTTCTTCCATGCGGACGAGCGACGAATCCGCTAATCTAATATCACCCCTGCTCTGCTGCCACCCCCCGCCAGGGATGGGATAAAAGGGGGGGACAGATGGGTAGTGGGAGGGGTGGAGTTGTAGGCAGCCCCCAAATCAAGGAACCCCTCTTCCACCATCTGCTCAGTCTCAGCTGAGACCGCGAGACGCACCGTTTAGTGGCTAAAGGAGTTCGCTTGCTCATCATCTCGCCGGGTTCCTCTGATTTCTGTTCCGAAAGCTCTTAAATGTTTTTGTTTTATATTCTCGTACAAAAAATCTGCAGCACTTCATGAAGTAAAATCTTGTTGTTTTTTTTCCACTGAACTTTATAATTTGTTGTCATTTAGACAATATGTTCATTCATTTTGTGTCTAATATTCTACCAACTATTATGCTAATTATGGAAAATCACATCTAAGCTGATGACATTTAAATAAAAAAAAGTAAAAAAAATGTGTTCCCCAGCTGGAAAAGCCCATCATGTCCTCACTTTCTGCATGTTGCTGTAGACTGGTCCTGTTTGACCATCACTAACACAGCAGCGCCACCTAGTGGAGACTCTTTGTCAGAGCAGAACCAGACATTTATCTTGTCTGCAGTCCTCTTCTGCAGACACCACAAATATAAATCTGGACCTCTTTCTTGCAGTTCTCTCTGAGACGACAGACTCGACCGAGGAGGAGTGGCAGTCCATCGCTGACCTGGCGACGGCCTGCCGCAGCATCCTGGAGGCTCTGTCACGAGAGGGTGAGGACCAATTCTGTTTTATTGTTGCTGATAGTTGGGACAAGCTTAAAGGCAAAGATAAACTTTAAAATATCTGACATTAGAATGTGTTGTTAAAAAAATTGAAATATTAGGACTGTGCAAAACTTTTAAAGCAGGTCTAATTTCTTTATGTTTTATTGCTAATGAACCAGGCTTGTTTATTTTTTATTTTTTTTAAAGATTCATCATTAGGGTGGGGGTCAGAATTAGAAGAGCCAAACCTTAAAACAAAAATCTACAGCTGATGAACAGTATCTGAAGGTCCTGCTTCTAAGGACAAGGAAAAACGTCCAGCAAACACCTGAGAGATTATCCACCAGCTGATTATAGCCTGAATTGATTAAAAAAATGGTCTTATCTGTCAAACTGGGTTATCTGTGGGTTTTTTATTGATTCAACTTTAAAAATTTAAATAAATTGTAATTTTGTGGCAGGGTAATCCAAATGAAAACAGTTCATTTTCTAAGTTGTCTGTTATATTTTAACACGGGTTCTGTTCTATTCCAGCATTTCCTTTTTATGATTCACAAGTCAAACAGAGTTAAGTGGCTTTGAAACCAAAACTAAACTCTGAAAATGGTTAGGTACCAGGACTAGACTGAAAATGAGTGGAAAAGCAAACAATGTCCAAACAAAATCTTTAAAATACTGATCAAGACCACTTTGAAAGATTAGAAGGACGTCTGCCTCCTCCGAAGTGAAAAAGAAACAAGGGACGACTCAAGACTTTTGCACAGTCCTGTAATCCTGTTTTCGGTGCTAATAATGTGAATCGTGTTCCTCAACGCAGACCGAAAAGCTGGAGACCCGTCTCAGGCAGGACCGGACCAGACTGATGGCAAGCTAAAGGACTTCAAGGACAGGTGAGTCCCAGTAAAGCTCTTCAGTCAGCCTCTCGCTCTTCTTTGTTCTTCGTCTCAGCTCTGAAACGTCCACCCCGTCGGTATTTGGACCTCACTGGTTCCGTCCAGCTGTTTGAATCAAAGCGATGCCCTTCTCTTGTCAGCAGCACATCTGACTCAATACCGTCTTCCTGTAAACCTCCAGCCCTGATCGATTACGTTTGTCTTTGATTCTCTTTTGCCTTCCTCGTCTTTCATGTAGTGACTCGTCATGCAGAACTTGCAGCTGGCAGATTGTTTTTTTCCCACAGGCATCACATCCATCTGAGCTCCACAGATCAAACATAAAGCTCTACTAAAACATGTTGGACCTAAATTCTTTAGTTTCCGCCCAACCTCTGGAGACAAAAGAGCAATAATGTTTTTGCCCGTGTGTGTTTTTGCCTGTTGTGTTAACAAAATATCTATAAAATTAATATAAAGAAAATTAATCAGAGAGTAATATTTGGATCAACATCTACAATTCAGTTAAGGACAACTGCCACAGTTAATAGACATTAGCCAACAGAAAAATGTTTATAACTCAGTTGTACACATGTTGAGCTCAAATGTGCTGTGGTAGTAGCTGAGAGTCCTTCATAACGCAGCGACGAGGGGGACAACAGACGTCCGTCTGTCTCGTGAGCTGGATAACTTGAAAATTAAGTGAGGTGCAAACTTCCATTTTGGTGTTTAGCTGCATCCACGGCTTATTTTGTAAACCGATCAATGCCAGAACGCAAATAGGGCTGGCTGGATGTAGTGGGGGGAGTTGGGGGTCCTTCCCCAGAAAATTTTGAATAAAGTAGATGTGATTTCCTGCATTTTGGTATATTTTAATGGGTTATTAAACATCTACATTTACTTATTTATAAACTGCTTCTGTCAAGCGTCCTACCCGCTGGTTCCAAGCCGACTCTTTTCCTCTGAATTCAATGTCCGACACCACATGTGAAACTTCCAGGCACCTTCTCCGTTTGTTCATGGCGTCTGCCTGTTGGCTCCTGCCTGCGTACAACTGCCTGGTTAGCTCGGCACTCACGCCCACCACTCTTTTAGGGGCAGAGGCTTTTTTTAAGGGTAGATGCGGAAATACTTACTTGAAGAGGCAGCTCGTAAGTGGCTGTTGTGTTTAAAATTAGTGTTTATGTAATTATTTTCAGTTTACATATCCAGAATAAGTTTTATTCATTCAAGACAGTCATATTTGTTCATAACTTTATTATTAGTAAGCCTGAGAGTTACCGGAACCATGCAAACAGTTACCGGAACGCACCCTGTTAAAATAAGAGCGTTCACGGATCCTGTTCTGGCAGGATCCGGCTCAAATTAAGCCCTGGCTGCATCTAGCCGTAAGAAAGTTCCCTACATTGAGTTGCTACATCACAATCAAAGATGGTCACTGCCATGTATATGTAATCCGGCCACCCCAATCATTTGAGGAAACTATGCTTTAGTTTTTATTTTGCTTAAAATCTATAAAATCTATGGTGTCCAAGGCCTCCATTGCACCTGTTTGGATGAAATGTCTCCCTCTCACCAGGATCCATCACTCTGCTTTACCTCGGACAATAAACAACAACTTCCTTCTGTTCCTCCACAGTGTAACTCCTCCCCACTTAAATCTTGCACCAAAAATATTAAGGTTTACTTGCATTCACTGTTCAATTCCAGTCCAGAAAAACACTCGTCTCTAAAACTACAAACATTCACTCTTCAAATCCCTCAACGAAGAGGGACGTCTTTGTAAATTCTGGCATGAAAAGTTGTGGGTCTCTCCTTCGTTACGTACTTGGAGGTCGTTTCTTCTGCAGCCTGCAGTGAGTAGTCATTATTTATAACTGCGGTCTGAAGAAATGCAGCTGAGGAGGAGAGCAATCACGAAGAGTGGCATCGCTCAGACACAACAATTACTGTAAATTAATCCTTAAGTGTTCCAGGTTTCATTAAAGGTAGTGTGGACAAATTGTCCACAACAATCCAACTAATTGGGGGGGTTAGAAGTGAGAAGCCCGTCTTCCTTCAGAAGGCTTTCATTAATATGATTGGTTGGGACTTAAACCTCGAGCGGTGACGGCGAGGTGACCACATCTGTAAACATCTGCTTCTCTCTGCTGCAGCGACTCTCCCGGCCACCTCGAGGAGAAGGTGTCGCAGCTGGAGGCCATGCTGAAGAAGCTGCAAGACGACCTGCAAAAGGTGCTTTGACTTCCGTGAATGTTACTCTCTGTAAATACATTTTCTAGTTCCTCTAGAAAGTCAGCAGGTAGAAATAAAAAATAAAATAAAATAAAACTTTTCTCAGCTTCCTCAGCCGGAGCGAGCTGGGTTCTAGTTGCTGACGCAGCCGTGTGTTTACCGTCCACGCACCACCTCAGACCACTGTAGAGATGTACAAAAATCCCCCAAAACACTTGGAAAAAATTTATTTATTTATTACTTTATGTACAGAAACAATTCCAGATTTTTGTAATATTTGCAGTACAGTTTGATTTGACGTGTATTTATGAGAACTCCTGCTGTCATTTCTTTTTTTTTTTTTTTTTTTTTTTTCTACACGTTTCCACCAAACACAAGTGTGTGTTGCTCTGTTGATCTTTGTTGTCGATGCCTCAGAAAACTGTATGTGATGAACTCAAAGGCATTTGGACATTCAATGCAGCTGCCTTAAAAAAAAAAATAAAAAAAAACCAACAACATGATTCTCAGCACAAAGTCCACTTGTTGTTCCAGAACCTTCGGGCCCATTTCCCGCAGCCTTACTGAGCAGATGGAGCGGCTCGGTCAGCCTCAGACAAGTGGACCGTGTGTTGAGAAGAGATTTTGCCAATTCTGTCTGTGTGTGTGTGTGTGTGTGTGTGTGTGTGTGTGTCTTTGTACGTAGAATGCATGATATTTCTCTTTAATTCTGTGACGCATTTTCTATTTGGAAGTCCTGGATTAGTACTGCTACTATTTAGTTACTCATCTCTCAACTTTATTCAGAAAGGTTAATTGACGACACATTCATTTTGACAGTTGGTTGTTTGTTTTACAACCTAAAACGAAGAGACGCTGTGTAGAACGTGACTAAAAATAAAGCGCTAACGTATCGAACGTTTTCACTGAAAAATGGACGAAGTTCTGGGGGTGGGAAAAAAAAAAAACGTGTTATTTTGATTCTGATGCCAGCATTACGTTGCAGTATCACTGAGAGGAAACACATATATTATTAATGAATCGTGATTTCATTTACAGCTGCTTGTTTGCAGGAATAAAAAGAACGGAAGTAGTGATGGGGAGAAGTGCGGGCAAATTGTTTTAACAACTTTAGACGGAGTTTATTTAATGGAATATTTAATGCATGAATTTGGGGATTTTATTACCTGAAATTATCTCAATAAAGACTCAGAGGAAATGCATGAGTAATGGCTGAGAACCAAGTGAAGACAGATAAATCTGCTGCAGCACAAATGATTTATTCATAGGGATTATTAGTGTTTGTATGAGGGACAGTTCTGTAAAAGCTCCACTGATGCTGAAGACGCACAGTTTGCAGGTTTTGGAGCAACATACAATCCAGTCAGTTGTTTTTTTTTAACAACACTCCTCCTTCTATCTGTTAAACAGTACCGGACCACATTCTGGACCTGGTAAATGCTGCTTCGCTCCTGAATAAAAGAGTTTAGATGCTAAACTTAACTTCACCAAGTCAAGACCCGTCACCCTGAAATGAACTGCTGCGTTTATTCTTAACAAGGAAGAGCACTGGAAATACCCTCAGTCCATCTTGTGAGCTGAATGATTTGGAAAAATGAGCTACTTGTCAACTTCCATTTATGTGTGTGGCTGAATCTAGGTGCAGGAAACAAACATCCCTATTGAAAATTCGGTTGCCAAAATCCAAGATGGCGACCACCATGTAAACCAGCCACCCCAATCAGTTAAGGAAACTAAGCTTTCTAGTTTTTATATTGCTTAAAAATATAGTGTGCTCAAATGATTGCGACCCTCGGAGTGGCTGAAGCTTAATCTGTGGTACCCAAAGCCAACATCACCCCGTCCTGGCTCCTCCATTGGTGGAATAAAATTGCTCCTTCCATTCACCGGGGTCCTTCACTCTGGGCCACCTCCCTCTGTTCTTCTCCACAGCATAACTCCCCACTTGAATATCTTGCACCAAAAACATTCACTTGTATTCCCATTTTAATTCCAGTCCAGAAAAACACTCACCTGCAAAACTACGAACAGTCACCATTCAACTCCCTCAGCGACAGGGACACGGGCGCACTCTTTGTTAAAGAAAACAAAAAGTGATGAATAAGGCCTTACAGCAATAAAGTTTTTGAAGTGAAGGAGCTTACGGACAAATAATATCTTACCTGTTGTAGGTCACTCTTTGAACGACCTCAGTTTCGAGTAGTAGTTTAATTCTGACCAGATTGATGAGCAAACAGTGAATTCAAGTAGTCATAGTTGTCTGCTGTTCTCATTAAACAGCTCCAACCTCCAGTTTTTGTTTAATTTTTTTATAGTGGTTCATGCAAATTTTATTTTAATAAACATTTACACGTCCACTGTCATTAACTGTTTGATACCTTTCCACAAAACCCTACTTCAAAAGATCCATCTGGTCTGTCTATCTGTCTGGATAGATGATGAATAACCAAAAAGTGAAACTTTTTTTTAATTCGCCCATTGAAGGTGGACATATTGTAGCGTATTGTCCGTACATCCGTAAACATTCTCTTGTCCCTCTCATCACATCTGATCCACTCAAGATAATTTAACAAAACTCGATATACATATGCTTCATTAGCAAGCAGAGTGGCTTGCTCACTACTTATCACTCAAGGTCAAGGTCACAAATCAAGGTCAAATGTCATATAAGGTCTGTCCAGGCCATTGCTATAGATTTCTTTATAATAGTTGTCGACAGGCGTATAAAGTACTGTTTGCAGTACTCTTGTTTTATTGCGTAGAACTACAGATATTTATCTCCTGAATGCATGTTAGTTAAAAAACAGCTGATCTAACACAGTGGTGAGCACACCTTTTGCTGGCATCATATTAAAATTAAACTGACAGATTTAAAAAAATATATACAAAAAATGCCTTAGCTTTCAGACACATTACAGTTGAATCAGTCATAGCTTAAAGTTTTTTTAAAATCAACGTTTTATTCTTACTTACCTTTTACACAGCGCTCCGTCCCCAGATGTGACAATTTGCTGCTTTTCCCTGTTTTACCACCTGAAGACATCACCTTGGACTTTGCAAACTTGTAATTGTGTTTCTGTCAATTTTTTGACATTTTATCAGTGAAAAATCATCAAACTGTTCAGTCACGACAGCAATCGTTAGCCTTATGTGTTTTGTAACTGATGAGGTGACCATCAACCCTTAAAGCAGTGATTTGAATAAACTATATGCAACAGTAAAAACCAGCAAATGTTTGATTGTTTTCAGCCGATACATAATCAAAACAACCGCACGCTCAGTTTTATTGGCTAAAAGTGTCTGTGCAGTTCTGGGCTGTGGCCATGTTGCTCCTCACCGCTGTGTGTGCTGCTGTGCGTCTCCGCTCTGATTGTCCCGTCTTCCTCTCGCGCACCGTGTTCACGAGTGTCCTTAAACGCAGCACTTGTACCCGTCGCCCTCCTCTCGTTCCTGCCACAGCAATCTGAGCGACAGCTTTTGTTCTCTGTTGTGTGCCGATGTTTTGCAGGAGAAGGAGGACAAGGCGGTGCTGCAGGCCGAGGTGCAGAGCCTCAGGCAGAACAACCAGCGGCTGCAGGAGGAGTCGCAGAGTACAGTGGCCCGCCTCATCAAAGTCACTGAGCTGCTGTGCAACGTCAACAAGCCCTGTTAGCCGCCTCGCTGCAAAGAAAACCATGCAAACCCTGCAGTGCACTTCAACACCCCTAGTTCTGATCAAAAGTACTCAACTACCACGGTCTCTGTCCTGAAGCGTGAAGCCTTCCTGCTGGATGAAAAAACCCAAAAAGAGAAAGATAAAAATGTTTAATGAGCATCCCATGATTCACAGACGGACCAGCACAGGCGGCTGTCTGGGCGCGCTGTGCCAGAGCGCTTTACAGATGTGTGTGTGTGTGTGTGTGTGCTTCAAATACTTGACCAGCCCTGCTGAGTAGCACTATAAGAAGTGGCAATTAATTATAAGAGACACTGTACAGCATGTGTTACGGTGTCTTCTTATGAAATGACCAAAAGTGTACCTATCTATGAAGCAGATCCAGTATCAGCAGTAGTGTATGTGAACGGTAGTGTCGCTTTTCTTCTGTCGAACGTGTAGTGTCCGAGTGTGGTTCGTACGGTGGAAGGCCGGAAAATGTGAAACAAAAAGGGGGTAAAAGTGACATTTGCAAGCCTGTGGGCAGCTTTCTACTTGAAAAGATGTTACTGATGCTCACTGACCCGCCTCAGAGCGAGGACTGTGATGTGAAAACATCTTTCCCTGCTCTCTTCAGTTGTACTGTATTTAACTAGCTATGTCTTCAGGAAGAGGCGGTTAAAAAAATATATGAATTTACTGGAAATATAGACAAGAAAAGGTCAAAAAGGAACTCTCCTTTTGGATCTATGTTTAAAAAAACAGGGGGGATAGTGGGAAAAGGTTATACCTCTCTGGAGGAAACAGACTCTGGCAGGAACGAACTGCTTCCTTCCACGACTGCCTGTAGCTGTTGTCTTCTAACCTCATTACTGTAGCAGCCATACACTGTAGAAGATCTCCTCCTGATGGCCTCAACCACTGAACGCCGAATAAAAGGCTCTTTTTTTTCAGCTGGCAAAATAGCTTTAGGTGTGTGGAAGAAAAAAAAGCACCTGGAAGTGATGATGAAATGCAGAATATTGTATTTAAAGATGTTTTATGTCTTCGGTGACCGTTAGAGAAATCGTTTGCTTCGGCTCCGGAGTGGTTCGATGAAATCTTACTGTTCCGCTCTGCTCTGGCGTGTGTGTGTCTGTGAGTGTTTCTGTGTCGTTCTTGCACCTTTTTCTTTTCGAGGGCCTCCACACTGGGTACACTGGACAGCTTCACCCCATTCAGTGCCAACAGAAGAAGGCCTGCCGACGACAAACTGATCACCAACTCTGAGCTCGGCACGGAACGGGGCCATGCCAAACGTTTCAAACTCTGCTGTTTCTTTGTACAAACCTCCTGTAACTTTCTTTTAGCGTCACTGTGAATAACTGGTACCAGCATATAAAGATTAAATTATGTGAAGATACTGCTCAGCTGTTGTGCTTAGACAATTTACAACATCTGGTCTTTTGTTAAGAAAAATTTACGAGGTGCCCCGTGAGCTTGATATCTAAAAATAATGATAGATTATTACTGGTAATCCAACAATTTCATGAGCAAATTAAAACAGCAGCTCACGCTTCAGGTTTCTGAATAAATTAACATGTAGAGCTTCACTCATAGTTTTAATGTTTATTGTGAATGTTTATGAAGCATTCACACTATTGACATCCATTCTTCTTCTGTACGTTTCTCGGCGCGATTCTCGTCCCGCAGTTTTTGAGCTATTTCAACAAATCATAAATCAAAACGTTCAGCTCTTTCAAGACAATCCTTCTATGGCTTTTGTTGTTAGTGCAGCTTTAGCTTTTTGAAATATTTAGCTTTTTCTGCCATGTTTTTTCTCATAGAAAATGAATAGAGCTCATTTTACATCCTTCAACTCTTTTGATTTGTTTACAACCTTTTACTGCTCCTTTCACATTTTGTTCCAGTTCAGCTTCTTTCAGCTTCCTTGTGCAAATTTAAACATTTTTTTCAGCTCTTTTTTAGCTAATTTCTGCTGTTTTTCCAGTTGTTTTGTGCTCCTTTCAGATTCTTTCTGCTACCTACCATTTTTTGTGCTTAAGCTTTTTCAGCTAATTTCACATGTTGCACTCATTTAAAAAAATTTCAGCCTAATTCAGCAAAAATGTGATCTCTCCTGGTAATTTAGGCTTCTTTCTGCCATTTTAGCTACTTTTCAGTTATTGTTTTTTTTTTTTCTAATTTCAGCCTTTTCAGATAATTCCACTTTTTTGTGCTTATTTCAGTTTCTTTCAGCCTAACTGGGCAAACTTGGGGAGGGGGGGGGGGGCGTGTTCTGCTTTCTTTGGCTAATTTAAACTTGTTCTATCGGTTCAGTAACATGTTTAGAATTTTTTTAAGCTAATTTCAGCTGTTGTCAGATAAATTCAAGTTTTTATGGTAACTTCTGCTACATTCAGCCTAATTAACTTCTTTCTGCTAATTTCAGCTTGTTATGCTCCTTTCAGCTTTGTTCTGCTAGTTTCAGCATTTTCTGCTATTTTAACTACTTTTTAGCTGTTTTATGCCAATTTTAGCTTTTTCAGCTAATTCCACATTTTTTTAAACTTATTTCAGCTCTTTCTGCTTTCTTTCTGGTAGCTTAACCTTCTTTCTGCCGTTTCAGCTATTTTTTGTGTATGCTAATTTCAGCTTCTTCTTTTTTTTAAGTTAATTTCATAACTTTTGTACTATTTTCTGATTATTTAAACCTAATTCAGATAATGTATGTTCTTTCTGCTTTCTTCTGCTAATTTACGCTTGTTCTTCCATTTCAGCTACAATTCAGCATGTTTATTTTAGCTATTTTTTGCTGTTTTTCAGCACGTTTTTCAGGGAAAAGCATTCACAATACATTTTCACAGGAAATGCAATTTATCTAGTTTAGAAATTAGTTATTTTAGAGAAAAAAAAACTAAATGAAGCAAAAGGAAGAAAGTAGGGAGTGATCTGCAATAATTTTGGCATCACATGCTCTTTGCCCTAACGTGGAAGCGCAACAGTCTAAACCTGGTCACATGCAAAGACTATACAGATGTTTGACAAATTCCTGCAAAGCAGATTATACTAAGACGTTTGTTTAGCTGACTTTGAAATATGATGGAGTGACTGCGGAGGATGTTTGTCATTCTTAGGTTAGACAAAAAAAATAGAGAAAGGCTGAAAGGGGAAAAGAAACTGCTGGCCGTAAGATTATTCATTGAAGTGTATGTAATTTTAGAAATAAAATTACTACAGGTGATCTGAACTGCAGCTCTTCAATTGTTCCGAGTTGCAGCTAAATTAAAGTAATTATTACTATTATTATTTATTATTATTATTATTATTATTTTAATTAGTACCAGTATTATTATTGTAATTATATGCCATGCAGAGATTGAAATTAAACCCTATCAGAGTTGGTTTAGCTCTGTCTGTACTTCAACATTTAGGAGCTGAACTCGTGGACTCTGTGTCCGGACCGGGCCAGCCTCCTCCACGCAGCCGGTGAAGGTAAAACAAAGATGTAAGCAGCCCCCGGAGAGGGAGAACGGTCTCTGAATGCAACAGGATGATTGGTGTCAGAGGTCAAGGCTAAAGCCGATTTGCTGAAAAGAAATGGAACATAAAAGTCAGTTGTAAGAAGAAAGCACAAGAAATATGTATAATCAGGCTCCCAGAGGCCTGAAACACACGAGAGTTGGGTTGTATTTTAACTAGTAAAAGGTACTGTATATAGAAAAAAGAGGACATACACTGTATATTGAAGATATAGATACTGCATAAACTTTACAGAGGGCACAGTAATCAGACAACAAATGACTGAAACTCTGTGAGATGAACTTAAAGTAAAAATGATGTTACACAGGTGAAAATATGTCCGCTGAAAATAATCAGTGCTGCTTTGAAAAGGAAGATTTAAACACAATTATTCTACTAAATCTGATTTCTGCAGTCTTTGCATGACATACTGTCATTAAAATCAACACAATGGTTGACGTGAGTCAATAATTAAAGATAAGTTATTGAAAAAGAGAGCTGTTGTAAAGTCTTTACCAAATCTCACCAGTTAATGACAATTTTATCTTGGGAATTATGAATACTCTCCGATTGTCTGTCCGTCTTGTGAGCTTGACAACATGAAAAGTAAGTGAGGTGCAGACTTTTATTTTGGTGTGTGGCTGCATCCAGGTGTAAAAAAATTTATCAAAAAATTGGGTTGTCACATCAAAATCCAAGATGGCCCCCACCATACATATACATATATGGCTTCTTATAAAGGCAAGCTAAAAACTCATCTACACCCTCAGCAGGGTCCTGGAGGGTGCGTGGGAGTTTGCCCAATTGGTCTACATGTGCTTTGTAGACTTGAAGGCGTTTGACCGTGTCCCTCGGGGAACACTGTGAGGGTACTCTGGGAGTATGGGGTACCAGGCCCTTTGATACAGGCTGTTAGGTCCCTGTATGACCGGTGTCAGAGCCTGGTCCGCATTGCCGGAAATAAGTCGGGCTCGTTCCCGGTGAGAGTTGGACTCCGCCAAGGTTGCCCTTTGTCACCGATTCGGTTCATAACTTTTATGGACAGTATTTCTAGGCGCAGCCAAGGTGTTGAGGGGATCCGTTTTGGTGGCCTTAGGATTGCTTCTCTACTTTTTGCAGATGATGTGGTCCTATTGGCTTCATCAGATCGTGATCTACAGCTTTCGCTGGAGCGGTTTGCAGCCGAGTGTAACGTGGCCGGGATGAGGACCAGTTCCTCCAAATCCGAGGCCATGGTCTTGAGCCGGAAAATGGTAGAGGTCCTACCCTCATCTATGGTCATGAGCTTTGGGTTGGGACCAAAAAACGAGATCTCGGATACAAGAGACCGAAATGAGTTTTCTCTGCAGCGTGTCTGGGCTCTCCCTTAGAGATAGGGTGAGAAGCTCAGTCATCCAGGAGGGACTCAGAGTAGAGCCGCTGCTTCTCCACATCGAGAGGAGCCAGTTGAGGTGGTTTGGGCATCTGGTTAGGATGTCTCCCTGGTGAGGTGTTCCAGACACGTCCCACCGGGAGGAGACCCAGAGGAAGACCCAGGACACGTGGGAGGGACTGTTTCTTGGCTGGCCTGGGAATGCCTCGGGATTCCCCTGGAGGAGCTGGACCAAGTGGCTGGGGAGAGGGAAGTCTGGGCCTCCCTAATTAGGCTGCTACCCCTCGACCCGACCCTGGATAAGTGGAAGAAAATGGACGGATGGATGGACAGGCAGCACGGTGGCGCAAGTGGTAGAGCTGCTGCCTCTGCGAGCAGGTCCCTGGTTCAAATCCCAGTCCAGGGGGCCTTTCTGGGTGAAGTTTTCATGTTCTCTCCGTGCATGCGTGTGTTTTCTCCGCGTACTCCAGTTTCCTCCCACATACCAAAAACATGCATGTTGATGACTATAAATAGTCCCTAGGTGTGAGTGAGAGCATGAATGGTTGTTTGTCTCTATGTGGCCCTGTGATGGACTGGAGACCTGTCCAGGGTGTCCCCCGCCCCTCGCACAGTGATTGCTGGAGATGGGTACCGGCGACCCCCGTGACCCAAAATGGAAGAAGCGGGTAAAAGATAATGGATGGATGGATGGATGGATGGATAAAAACTCAACTTTTTAAATCTGCCTTT